TTTGATTATTGATGCCGCCGTCTGCTGCAGTGCCTTGAGTGAAGTCACCACCCGTGTGTCATACTCCCTCATGATGTCTTCTGGCGGGTCCTGGTCCATCACACTCGGCTCGGGTAGTCGTCCAGCTAGCAGTTGCTCCATCGCCTCCCATTCCTCGTCGCTCTCCCTTCTCCCCGCGCATCTCTTCGTCGCCCCAGCAATGGCGCGTACAGCGAGCGCCTGGGCTTCGCACTCTGCGGTGTGGGCGAGTGTCCGCCTCCTAGGCAGGGGTGGTCTCCTGCGGGTCGGCAGCAACTGCGATGCTATTGGTTAGCATGTACACGATTTGCCAAATGGTAGCAAAGCCAATAAAGTAGTATAGGGCCTTGCGTGTCATGATCAAACCAAAATTGCACACGTAAATGACGATGTATTCACCACTACGATACTGCAGGCAACGGAGAGTGGCCCAAACGTGAAGGTGGAGAAGCCGAGCATAAATGGCGGCAAGAGCATCGTCGTACAAAGAAAACGCCAAATGGAGGTTACGACACATCCAGAATTTCCACGGCATAGGCCTCTCGTTGGCATTGGGTCGAAGGGCGTTCCCGCACACCCATGGATTTTCTGCCATGCCATGGTAGGTGCAATGGAAGCACTCGACAAGTCCATGGAGGCATTGGGGGCAAAGCGAGGAGGGCAACGGCTTTCGGCGGCCAGTGTCGATCGGTTCGCAAACATCGGACAAAGGAGTTAGCTCGGCATAGTGCTCCCTCACGACTGGACTGACGAAGTTGAGAAACCTCCGAAGGAAGTCGCGATAGATGCTGACGCAAACCATTGCATACGGGCACCCAAAGGAGATGGTGGTGGTAATAGGTGTCCAAATGAAACAAACAGTTTTGACAGTAGTGCTGATGATGACCTCAAAGGCGACGAGGCATGCATACCTGGCGAAGTATAGGAGGGATCGCACGAAATCGTAGATTGCAAAGCCCCAAGCAACGAGCAGGATGATGCCGCATATCGCAAGCGCAGCTGGCGCAAGGCAAAAATACCAGTCAAAGACCCACTTGATTTGAATACCCAGGTTGATGATCAGTAGCTTGGTATTTGCACCATAGTGTCGCAATCCGTACCACGCTTTGACAATCATAAGGCTGCTCATGGTCTGGTAAGCAAACAGGTCGCCAATTGTCAGTGCACTTGTCAGCAGGGAGTACGCAAGGAAAAGGGACCCAACGAGAGCAAAGCAAAGAAAAAATGGCCAGATCATTCCCATCCATGTGGACTGTACCCGAGCGCAATTCTTGTTTGAGAACATATAGTTCCAATGGAGCTCGTATTTGACCCAATCGCGCTTGCCGCGTCGCCGAAAGTGATCAAGGCAAAGGGCTTTCGCAGCATCGGTGGTTCCATGGAGTGGCCAGATGATACCACATGTCCCATTGTTGAAGGGCACTACCTCTGTCCCACTGCTCAAGGTCTCATGGTGCAATGCCTCTCCTGCACTCGGCGTGTCCGAGTGGTCCCGGGGAAGGACTTTCTGCCAAGGTGTAGGGTCAAATGTAGCGTTCCACGGTGAAACATTTTGGAGGCAAAGGAAGCCGTTCCCGTCGCATTGACCCAGAAGAATGGGCAGCATTGAGTAATCCAGCAAAGGTGGCGGCGGCATGTGTGTCGCAGGCTTCCTATGGGGCTGGGTTGTCGCAGCAAGAGTCCCGTGCCTCGTGAATTGTAGCGCCATCGTATTGGGCCATGAGTGCACCTGTATCGCGGGGCTGCGGAGGGCCAAAAATTCAGATTGGCCGCAGTGGGTGGATAAGGCCTCAGGAGCCGACTGTAGCGCGTGCTCCATCGCCTGGGAGGTAGTGTGAGTGGAGGCACACATGTCCTCAAGGTGTTTTGACCCAAGTTGCCAATTTATCGATAAATCTTTGAGAAATGAATTGTCGATGCAAATGGCGGGCTCGAACGTGCTCGACGAGACCGACTGGACCCATTGTTCAGATCCTTCGGCTCGATTGGGGTTGTGCTCGCACACGCCAGGCGCCCAGGTGGTGGCTGACATAGATGGTGCAAGGCTTGTCCATGGTGGAGGTGCCATGGTGGTCGACGCTGTCATGTCGCTGGTGGTGTCGGCCTCGGCGATGCAGTAGTCGAGGCCGTTCTTCCCGGTAGAGAAGTCATACTCGATAGCGGTCACGCCATAGCTCGCGCATAGGAGCAGGAGGCTAGGCAGGGGCCGCATCGCGTTCGCTGAGCTGTAACAAGTTTGATCCAAAACAAGAACACAAGTTTGGCTCTACTAATATAGCGCGCGGATAAAGCGCGCGCGCCGCGGTGGCGGCGAAATATAATATTATCTCAGAGGAATATAGTGTGAATGCCCGGGAACAGCCTCAGATTTTGCCCCAGTGCCCAGACGGTCACACAGGAGCGACACACATAACCACAAGACAAGACACTCAGCCAACGTGGCTCGTGGCTGCCACACATCCTGAGCGGACTTCCCTAGTCACCCGCGGCCGGACTCCATCCGGCACGCGTCGCTGGGCGTACATTGCTATGGTACTCGAAACACGATGTTTTTTCACTCTCAGAGCGTCCGACCGGCTGCCTTTACAACGTCACCCCTGCTTCTTGGGCAGCAGCTGGTTCGACAGGTCCTCGCCGTGGCCCAGCTTGCCAAAGTCTCCACTGCCCCAGCTCCAGACGGCGCCGTCGGCGGTGATGGCGAGGCTGTGGTGGTATCCAGCCGACACAGCGACGACGCGCTGGCCGGCAAAGGCCTCGATCTTCTTGGGCAGCAGTTGGTTCTGCGCGTCGCCGTGGCCCAGCTTGCCTAAGCCTCCATCGCCCCAGCTCCAGACGGCGCCGTCGGCGGTGAGGGCGAGGCTGACAGCGGTTCCAGCCGACACGGCGACGACGCGCTGGCCAACCAAAGCCTCGACCTTCTTTGGCAGCAGCTGGTTCTGCTGGTCGCCGTGGCCCAACCGGCCATCATCTCCAAGGCCCCAGCTCCAGACGGCGCCGTCGGCGGTGATGGCGAGGCTGAAGTCGAGTCCAGCCGACACAGCGACGATGCGCTGGCCGGCAAAGGCCTCGATCTTCTTCGGCAGCAGCTGGTTCTGCGCGTCGCCGTGGCCCAGCTTGCCGTGTTCTCCATCGCCCCAGCTCCAGACGGCGCCGCCGGCGGTGAGGGCGAGGCTGTGGTCGCCTCCTGCCAATACGGCGACGACGCGCCGCCCCGCCAAGGCCTCGACCTTCTTCGGCAGCAGCTGGTTCTGCGCGTCGCCGTGGCCCAGCCGGCCAGAGGCTCCCAAGCCCCAGCTCCAGATGGCGCCGGCGGCGGTGATGGCGAGGCTGTGGTTGCCTGCAGCCGACACAGCGACGACGCGCTGGCCAGCAAAGGCCTCGATCTTCTTCAGCAGCAGCTGGTCATGCTGGTCGCCGTGGCCCGCAAGGACTCCAAAGCCCCAGCTCCAGACGGCGCCGTCGGCGGTCAGGGCGAGGCTGTGGAAGTCCCCAGCCGACACGCTCACGGCGCGCTCGTCGCCCAGCGGGGAGGAGGGGAGGAGAGTCGTCGTGTTGAGCCGAGTCACGCCCTCGCCGTGGCCGAGTAGCCCTGGGCTGAACCACGGCGCAGAGCCGCACGACGAGAGCTGCCCCTCGCCGTCGATGAAGACGCTGTGCATATTGCCTGCCGCCGCCCTCGCCGGCGGGTTGGACTCGCGCAGCAACGCATAATAGCACAGCCACCGCACGGCGCAGCTCTCGCCCTCGGGCTGCGCCGGCAGCTCGAAGCCGCGCTCTTGCGCCCACAAGCGGATGCCCTGCTCCGCGAGCGAGTGAAAGAGGTGGGAGACGGCCGCGACGCGAGCGATGTCGAGGGGGCTGTCGCAGCGAGAGAGGGCGCGCTCGAGGAGCTCCCTGGGGAGGTCGAGGAGGCGGGCGGGCGGCGGCGCGTCTGGCGAGGGGGCGGCGGTGGAGGCGGAGGCGAGGCGGCGCGAGCGGCGGCGCGGCGGGGTGGACATCACGAGAAAAGAAAAAACGAAAAACCAGGATAAAGGATAAGCATCGGAACGCATCTTTTCTTCCCAGATGTGTCTTGGCGTCCGGGCGCTGGCGAGTAGAGGCCCCGCCCACCCAGGACCCTCTCCGAGGACCCATTGGGTTGCTCTTTCGAGGACTCGCCGACTCGTCTGCGGACTGGCACAATGGAGAGACGCCGAGCGCCTGACGGCGAGCTTTACACAAAGAGCCAGTTCGAGGAGTGGTTCGGAGGACTCGAGGAGTGGGCCGCTGCGGCGCCGCAGCGGGAGCAGCAGCCGCAGCAGCAGCAGCAGCGACGGTCGCGCCAACAGCAGCGAGAGCAACAGCGACCGCCGCAGCCCGAGGAAAAGCCGGCGGAGCCGGCCGCTCGTCCTCGCCGCGTCCTCGCCGCCGGGTCACCGCTCTTCCAGCAGGTGGTCGCCATCCAGCGCGACCGGCAGAGCTTTGCCGCGGTGTGCAGTGTAGCGGTCGCGTGTGCCTGGCGGGTCCCTTCTCTCCCGCCTTCCGAACGGCACCGGCGGAACTTCAAATGGCCCGCCACCCTGCGTCCTCCCCGATGGCCGCCCTGCGTCCTCCTCCCACAGGTGGATCGCGACGACAAGAAGCACATCAAGCGGTGGCAATCAACGAGCCGGTGGGAGCAGGGCCAGGGGCCCGATGCCAATCGCGAGGGCGGAGCTCCCGCCGCTGCCCCTGACTAATCGTTGTCGGTGCTTCACCGTGGAGTCGCTCCGGCAGATAGGTAGTGTTCCCGGGGGTTGTACACAGCTCACTCTCAGATAGGTGGGTACCCAGGTAGGGTACGGCTATTCCTATATGTGTATTGAAATAAACGATACAAAATTCTGGTTTTTCTGCCGTGCGCCTCCGCACACACTCTACATATATGTGTATCGAACAAGCAACGTACCGACCTGTGGGCCGACCCTCCACCCTTCCGTGGAGAAGCTTATCTTCCTACCTACCTACCCTTCCTCCAGCCCTCCTCCACCCACCTGGCACGCGTCCTTCTCGCCCGGCAGCGGCCTCAGCATCTCCCACACCCGCGCCATCGGAATGCGCGCCAGCTTCGCCTAAATCGAAATCGTGGTACGCATCTCGCGATCAGGTCACACGCCATCTCGGGGGCACGCGAGCGTTTCGCCTCGCAATCGTTGATCCCCATCGACAGGAGCAGCTGCTGCCCCTGCCCCTGCCCCTGCTGCCCGTCTGCGGTCGGAGTCGCGTTCCGCGCCGCCTCGAGCACGGCGCCGCTGATGAACTGCACGCTCTCGCAGTCGTCCTAGGCCGTGCCAGCGACTCGCTCTCACGAGAACTCGCCGACATCTCGCCGGGAGATGTAGCCACATCTCACGCGCTAGCCGGCCAGTAGGGGGATTTGGATACGGTACCGAGGGGGTAGGGGATTTGGCACCTCCGACTGACTCGACGCGACGCAAAACTCACGCGACGTGGCCAGCAGGCGGAAGGGGTAGACCGGCTGCATGGTGTAGAAGAAGTGCCTGCGGACGCCGCGCCGCCGAGCGAAGGGCGTGAGGGAGGCGTGTAGCCAGCGTCGCTCCGCCGTGCTGACTCTCTTGCCGCGCTAGGATGTCGCGCGGAAGAAGGGGGGGGGGGGGGGGGGGGAGAGGGGCGCACGTGTACTGCGAGCCGAATTGGAAGGGCGTGTCGCCCGCTGATGCGCGCACGCTCTCGCGATGCCGCTTCCAATCGCCGCCGAGGTGTTCTGGCGCCCGGGCCCCGCCCCGCCCACGCCCCCTTCCACCGCCCCTGCCCCTTCCCCCGCCTCCGCCTCCGCCCCCCCCTCCAGCCGAGAAGTCCGCGCGGCGGGCGGCGCTCCCCCGCAGGATGCGCCTATCAGCTGGCCGCCAGCGGTGGGGCAAGGCGCCGCTCACAGCGGGCGGGCGCCGTGGCGGAGCGCGCCGCTCAAGCCAGCCCGTCCGCCGGTGGACGTGGCCCACCTGAGGGGGACATGTCTCGGACATGTCTCGGACGTGTCCTGGACGTGTCCCGTCCACCGGTGGACGAGACCCATCTAAGGGCGTGGCGGAGCGAGGGAGTCGGCGCTTGCCTGTCCGCCCAGTCGATCTCTGCCTGTCTGCCCGCTCTCGACTGGGCGCGCGTGCGATCTGGGCGCGGGGGGCGTGTGTGTGTCTGTGGGAAGAGCGTGGGGTGGGAGCAGGAGGGGACCAGGACGTGTCACTGTCTAGACCTGCAGGGGCGGCCCATACCCCGAGACTATCCGAGATTACCCGAGATTACCCGAGGTTGCAGGTGCGGCACATACCCCGAGCAGCGCAGCGCACGCGCGAGGCCGCGGGGCACCGCCTCCGCTCGACCTGTCGCCCACCTCTCCTCGGCCCTCGCCCCGACCCCACGCCGGCGACAACCCGTGCACGCGGCGCATGCCCACCCCCACCGCCGCCGCCGCCGCCGCCGCCGCCGCCGCTGCCGCCGCCGCCGCCGTGCCATTCGAGCCGACCGCGCGCGGCTGTACGCCTCCGCCGCCGCCGCGACCGGCCCACGAGCAGCGGCTCCGTGGCTGCTGGTCGAGGGGGAGGGTGCGGTCGCAGGGCGCATCGTTGGCGGCGCGGTGCAGCCTTCGTCCTCCGCGGCGCGCAGCCGGCCACTCTTGCGGTCGCTTGCGGACCCGGATCAGGTTGGATGTGGGGGAGACGCGGTGGCCACCCGCACGAAACGTGCCCCGCCGCCGCTCTGCCGTGGTGTGGTTTGCGACCAGTCGGAGTGATCCAAATCGGTCGCCGGCGGCGGCGGAGGTCACCATCGCCCTTCCTCCGACTGGTGTGGGGCCGCACTCTTGGACATTCTGCAGCCGCATCGCGCTGCGCCATCCCAAGCGCGTGATCGCCCGCTGCAGGGGTCTCGCGGCGTCGACGGTTGTGTTGCCTCGCCACCACTGTGCCTGCGAGGCGTAGCACGACAGAAGGTGCCGCTCTCTGAAACGCGGCGAGCCAAACGACGCGACCAGCCCAAGCCACGGCTGCACCATCACTGCAGCTGTCGGCGGCGGCGACGGCGGCGAGGGCGTCGGCGTGGTGCTGCCCGTGGCACTGTCGGGCGCTGCAAAGATGGCCTGGTTGCGCCCCTGGGCCCACACGTCCTTGCTGGGCCAGCGCTTGCTTGCCCACGCTCTCAGCTCGACCACGCCGCCGTCAGAGGTGACGGTGGCGGTGACCTGCGGAGCAGTCGGCAGCCCTCAGCCACACGTGCGCACTCGGCCCTCCTGGAGCTCTACAGAGAGAGAGCCTGCGGAGCAGAGTGACCCGACGGTGAGGTTAGGTAAGGTAGGGTAAGCTCCTCCACACACGCACAAGGTAGTGGGGCAAGGGCCAGGCTAGTCCCTCGCGACTGCGCGTCTAGACGACAGGAGCCCCACGGCATGCAAAGTGCAAGGCCCGGTGCGCGTGGGTGAGCGGTGTGTGTGTGTGTGTGTGTGTGTGTGTGTGTGTGTGTGTGTGTGTGTGTGTGTGTGTGTGTGTGTGTGTGTGTGTGTGTGTGTGTGTGTGTAGTGGGAGAGAGAGAGAGAGAGAGAGAGAGAGAGAGAGAGAGAGAGAGAGAGAGAGAGAGAGAGAGAGTGAGGGAGAGAGAGAGAGACCTGCACCAGCGCCACCATGAAGTGGCACGCCAGGCATGTGGTCGTCGCGAAGAGGCGGCCGTCGATGTTGAGCAGCCTGGGGAGAGTTTACCGCGGTGTGGTGCAGACGGCGAGAAGCGTGCGGAGATAGTCGATCTAGGAGGTTGGGCGCAGCCTGGGGCCACCGCCGGTGTGGTGCGAACGGCGAGAGGCGTCGGGTCTACGAGGTGTGGGCGCGCTCGCCGAGTGTCGTAGGACGGCTTAACCCACGGCGGCAGGTAGCCGTCGCTCACTCCGGGAGGCACGAACCAGCGCGAGCCGTTGCCCTCCACGGCCGCGAGAGACACCTACGGTTGGCGGTCGCGGGCGTGCGATGCCCACGCCGCGCCCCCACGGCCGGCGCCAGTCCTGGGGCGGAGACGGGGCCTGGTTCTCTGGGCGAGGGAGCAGCCACGTCCAGCCGAGAAGCCGGCGGTCGGCGTCGAGGACGGCGAGGGCGGTCCCCTTGAACCAGGCGCCTATCTCGCGGCACCCCTGCGCCATGATTGAGCTGCACTGGCGAGTTGGCCCCCTCCTGGGAGATGCAGTGTGTGTGTGTGTGTGTGTGTGTGTGTGTGTGTGTGTGTGTGTGTGTGTGTGTGTGTGTGTGTGTGTGTGTGTGTGTGTGTGTGTGTGTGTGGTAGTGCCTGGGGCGCTCTGCGGCATGTTGCGGCGCAGCAGGGGCGAGGAGGCGTTGCACTGGTGCATGGCATCGACCCGCAGCGCCACCACGTACGTGCAGCGCGGACAGAGCCCCCTTGGCGCTTCCGTGATGGCGGGGTTGAAGACGCTGAAGACGCGCGGCTTCGCGGGGTAGGGCGGCCGTCGCTGCATCGACGCCGGCCCGCCTGCACGCAAGCTATGTCGCGTACGAGTCGGAACCTCGACACGCGTGCGCGCCGGTGCGAGGTGATATACTGCTGTGTGAGAGGGAGCGTCTCACACTGCTGTGTGAGAGGGAGCGGAGTGTCACACCGATCGGCGGGAGCGGAAGCGACAGCTCTTCGAGAGGAAGGCGGATGACAGCCGGCCGCTGATCGCCAATCCACTGGCCGGACGGAATCTCAGACGCAGGGTCTGGAAACGCTTCGGCGGCTCCGTACATCCAAGGCGGCGAGTACTCCCTCATTTGGCGGTGAGGGCTCTTAGCAGCGGCTGTGAGCAGCGGGGGGGGTTCACTTTTTAATAGACGCCGAAAACAACAAAAGAAACATCGAATGGCCTGAGGTGACCGCCGAAGCATCCCTCTCTATGAGGCCTCTTATAGCTCAGCCAAAATGATCCTCTCAAAAAGTTGACTTAGGAAGCCGCAGTCCCCAGCGTCCGAGACAGGAGGCGTCACTAACTCGTGTGAAGATGTAGTGAGTGAGTGGTCCCGGGCCCTGCGGGGAACTAAGTCGACGCAAGTTAGTCTGTGAGCTGGACGAGGGCTAGTGGTGCGCCGAGGCGGGTCAAGTGCTCCCGGGAGTCGTGGTCGGAGGCCGGGACACTACGCACACTAACTTAGCAAACAATGCGCGCGGGAAGTGAGTGCCTCCGACCGGCCGCGAGGGGAGTGGTCCGGCGGGCCGCTCGTAGTGCCCTTCGCCGGCGGACGGAGGCGAGATCGGCTACTACGCGCACTAACTTAGTGCGCGGAAGTGAGTGCCTCCGGCCGGCGAAAGAGTAGAGACATGCTTGCACAAGCTCACTTCTCCATCGCCAGCCCGACGCGCTCGTAGTTACAGGTTGACCCAAATAATCTCTCTCACACAGTACCGCTGTCACTGTCTCAGGCCCGCTCATGGGAGCCGACGCTTGCAAGTGAGTGTCAGAGTGTAGGAACTCGGGAGATATTTTTATTAACCAACAAGAAATCACGACTCTCACAGTGGGAGCATCCGTCCTCATTCACTTCACACTCGCTCGCAAAAGTGAAATCGATTCGCTGTGAATTAGACGCCGAAAACAACAAAAGAGAAGAATTTAAACAAAAGAACTCTCTCTCACCAGCAGACAGGCTCGACACAGGTGCGAACTGGCGCGTGCTAGTACTATCACCGGCACACCACCGGAGCCGCCTAAGCGACTCCGTTAAGAGCGGCAGACGCGCCCCGCTGCGTGAGATGGCGCCGCCGTGGAGTCGGCGCCGCGATCAACCGCGCGCCAGCGGCGAGCGGCGCAGCGCGGCCACCATGCGGCGCGACGTGCCCGCCGCTCAGTTTTTTTTCTTTCTTCTGTGCTGGAAGTCGATCTTTTGCTGCAGATTCCGAATCTGAAGCTGCAGAGCCTGCAGGTCGCTCGAGGCTGCCATGCTGGACCAACTGCCGGAGTTGGACGCAAGAAGAAAACGCCGCGCTTCCTCCCTTGATGCGGATGTTGTTTTGTTCTCCCTTGAGTTATCGGCTCCTAGAAACGGGTTCATCGCAGCGCAAATCTATCGCAGCGCACTCGCCATCTGCGAGCCTAGCGCAGCGCGAACTCGCCGTCTGAGCCTAGCGCAGCGCGAACTCGCTCCAACGAGGCTCAGACGCCCACCGGTGCCAGAATACTTTTTCGCGGCCGCACCCTTGCCCGGCAGCGAGCCGCAGCGAGGCCACGGCCCAGGACGTGCCGCTCTGTCGCTAACTTACCATACATGGCCGCCGTCTGCGACATCTGCGGCAAGGTGCTGCGCAGCGCCTCGGCCGAGGCCATGGCGGCGCATAAACGCGAGAGCCAGTCGTGCACGCGGGTCAAAACAAAGGGCGCGACTGGCGAGGTGACCTCCTCCCACGCGCATGTTTGCTCTTTCGCTGCGTAGCCGCCAGCGCTCAAACCAATCTCTCGCCGACTCTATCACGCTCAGCCTTCGCCGACGACAGGTGGCGAGGCTGGAGGAGAAGCTTCGTGCGGTGATTGAGGCGGGCCGTCGGCTCGCGGCACACGGCGGCGCGTACGACGTCGTCGAGGCCAACACCAGGGAGCGGGGCGAGGTGGAGGCGGCGCTAAAAGCGGCGCGCTCGTCCACCAAGGCAGCGAGCCCTAGATCTGGAGCGACACAGAGACACACGGACGCGGCCCTCGTCCGGCCCTCGCCCTTGGCCGCCGCGGCCGCCGCCGCCGCTGCTGCTGCCATCGTCGTCACACCTCCCTCCCACGAGCAGGCGGAGAAGGCGCGAGTCAAGGAGCTGGCGCAGCAGTCGATGTCGGCCGCCGGCTGGACGAGCGCGCTGCTGCAGGGGGAAGAGAACCGGTTCGCTAAGGCCGACGAGGGCGCGGTCGAGTCGCAGCTGGCTGCGGCGACGGTGGGCCTCGTCTCGTCGGCCGCCTTCCGCGAGAAGCGAGAGGAGCTGGAGGCGGCGGCGGGAGCCAAGCGGGAGCGCGAGGCGGAGGAGGCGGCGGAGGCAGCCGCTGCGCAGCAGGCGCGCAAGCGCGCCAAGAAGCGCGAGCGCGAGAAGCAGCAGCAGCGAGGCCTCTCGTTTGCGGCCGACGAGGAGGACGGCTGAGCGACTCGCGCCAGCAATGTGTAAGGACTAAGAACGTTAGCACAGAAAGCCATCGGTGTGCGGCATTTTCGCGCCGTCGCCTCCCTCCGCTACTCGAGTACAGGAATGGGTCGCGGGGGGGGGGGCAAGGCCACGCGACTCGCCACGCGCCCTTCCGAAGGGAGCATGGCTTATTTAGCTCTGCCGCCGCCGCGCCCGGACTCGCCGTCCGAGCCGACGTGCTACGGCTCTCCGGCGCAGCCGACCAAGCAGCGCGAGGCCTGGCGAGTACAGCAAAAGTCCGCTGTCGAGCAGCTCATTGCTCTCGAGGAGGCGCCTTGCCGCCGCGCCCGCTCCCCTCGCCCTCGCCTCTACGGCGCCATGCCGGCGCACCCGGCCGCGCGCACCGCGTCGGAGCACCACCTGACCAGCCAACGCCCCGCATGCGGCGTCCTGACTCTCTCCCGTCTGCGGCCTCAGGCGGCCGAGCGGGCGGCCGACGCGGCGCGGGCGGCGGAGGAGGCGGAGGGCGAGGAGGGCGAGCGGGAGGCGGTGACCAACTACGCGGCGATCGGCAAAAGGTCGATGTACTGGGACACGGAGAAGCTCGGCGACAAGCTGCAGGGCCTCGACAAGGCTGGCGCCGCCGCCGCCTCTCTCGCCGCCGCCTCTCTCGCCGCCGCCTCTAATCACCGCTGCTGCACTCTGCTCACCGCTGCCTCTGCTCAGCGCCGCCGCCCCTATCGCTGCCGCTGCTGCTCACTGCCGCTCCCGAGCTCCCCGCCACCGCCCCCTCTCTCCTCGCCGCCGCTGCCTCTCTCCTCGCCGCCGCTGCCTCTCTCCTCCCCTCTGCCTCGCCCCTCCCCTCTGCCTCTCTCCTCCCTCTGCTGCTGCTGCCGTCGCCTCTCCTCTCACCGCACCCCCTTCCTCTCCTCTCACCGCACCCCTTCCTCACCTCTCACCGCACCCCCCTTCCTCAACTCTCACCGCGCCCCCCTTCCTCTTGTCTCACCGCGCCCCCCTTCCTCTTGTCTCACCGCGCCCCCCTCCTCTCGACCCTAAGGTGGACCCGTACGGCCTGCTCGAGCTCGAGGATCGCCGGTGGGCGGCGACGCCCGAGGTGCCCTCCCCCCGGGGGCGTGCGTCCGGCGTGCCGTGTGCGGCTCCTCTCATCCTCCCAACTCCTCGTGACTCGTAGGAGCTGCGCAAGGCGTACCGCCGGCTGGTGCTGGAGAAGTGAGCAGACACCTCGTAGACACTTCGTAGACACTTCCCAGCTGCAGGCAGTGGCGGAGAACCCTCTCGGAGCCCTCTCGGAGGCCTCTCGGAACCCTCTCGGAACCCTCTCGGAACCCTCTCGGAAGCTTCGACCCTGCAGACACCCCTCACTCACACCCACACCCTCACCCCAACCTCAACCCAACCCGCACCCTCACCCTCCAGGCATCCGGACAAGAAGGCGGCGCAGGAGAATGGCGGCGCCAGAGGCGGCAAGGAGGGCGGCAAGGAGGGCGGCAAGGAGGGCGGCAAGGAGGGCGGCAGGAGGGGCAAGGGCGGCGGCGGCGAGGGCGGCAACAACGGCAACGGCAGGGAGGGCGGCGGCGAGGAGGGCGGCGAGGAGGGGGGGGAGGGCGAGGAGGAGGGCGAGGAGGAGGAGGAGTTCAAGCTGCTGTCGGCGGCGTGGGAGCTGCTGGGCAGTGAGGAGAAGCGGCGACAGTACGACTCGATCGACTACTTTAACGACGCGCTCCCCACCGCCTTCCGGCCGCGCGCCGACGACCCGGGCCGCTTCTTCCGCGTGTTTGGGCCCGTGTTTGCTCGGCAGGCAAAGTTCTCGGTGGCGCGGCCGGTGCCGTTGGTTGGCGACGACGAGACGCCGCTGGAGGAGGTGCAGCGCTTCTACGCCTTTTGGACGCGCTTCCGCTCCTGGCGCGACTTTTCGCTGCTGGCCGAGTGCGACACGGCCGAGGGGCGGCGGAGGAGCAGCCGTGAACAGCGTCTCTTCACACCTGTGGCTGTGAACAGGTACGACACGGCCGAGGCGGAGGACCGCGAGGAGCGGCGGTGGATGCAGCGGCAGAACAAGAACGAGGTGGAGCGACTCAAGCGGAGCGAGATGCGGCGGCTGATGAGCGCGGTCGAGCTGGCGCAGGAGAACGACCCGCGGCTGCATCGTGCCAAGGAGGAGCGCGCGGCGGAGCGCGAGCTGCAGCGGAGGCGAAAGGAGGAGGCGCTGGCGGCGGAGAAGCGCGCAAAGGCGGAGGCGGCGGAGCAGGCCCGGGCGGCGGAGGCGGCGGCGGCGGCGGCGGCGGCGGCGGAGCGGGCGTCCAAGGATTCGGACAAGGCGGCGGCGAAGCGCGAGAAGGAGAAGGCGCGGTCGGCGCTCAAAAAGGCGCGCAAAGAGCTCAAGTCGCTCGGCGAGGAGGGCGCCGCGTGGCGCGCGCGCGCGTCGGACCTGGAGGCGGTGGCGAGTGGGCTGCCTCTGGTCGAGATCGAGGCGCTGCACGCGACGCTGTCCGCCGGCGACGAGGCCGCCGGCACCGACGCGCTCGAGGCGGCCCTGCGCAAGGTGCTCGGCTGACCGAGGCCGCTTGTGACTTGTCAGCGGCGGCGCGGCGACGAGTGCCGCGCGCCGCATCCACGGCGCAGCCCCCCTCCCTCTCTCTCCTCTCCTCTCCTCTCTTCTCCGCGTAGCGCGCCGGGCTCGCGGGGTACTGCGCGTGTCTGGCTTGCTGGGGCAGGGCGACGCCGCTGGCAGCTGTGGCCCCTTGTGCGCGTGTGCGTCGTTGATACATTGTGCGCGCGGAGCCGATCAGCCCTCACGCCCATACCTGTCTCACGTGCGGGCAGGGGGAGGGACCGGGAGTTGGGCGGGCCGCGTGTGATATTGCGCAGTGGGGAGAGAAGCCAACGGCAGCCGTGCGGCACGCGAGATAGTGGCTCTTCCGCGGGCGGCGCTCCTCGTCCACCACTTTGTGTGTGGAGACGTTTACCTTACCTTACCTTAGCTTATCCTCGTCCCTCTCGCCAATCTCGCTCTTCGAGCGTCCTCGCCGCGCGAAAACCGAAATATCGATCATATTATTCTCCAGGCTCCAGCGCCGCGAGAGATCTTCCGCGAGACGCGAGCGCGGCGAGCGCTCTCGGCTCTGGTGTGTGTGTACCGGAGCGCTATCAGTATCACCTCGAGTCGGCATTAGTCACGAACGGCATCGCGGCGCTTCGACTTTAGGAACTGACAAAAAGTGCCCGCTTTTCTTTCCCCCGCCCCCCGCCCGCCGCCCGCCGCCGCCGCCGCGCGCCCGCCCCTCCGTGTGTCTCTGCGCGCCTTCCCCAGCCCTTCACCAGACCCCGACCAGACCTTCACCAGACCTTGATCGCGTCGAGCGCGCGCATCACCTCGTGAAAGGTTGCGCGAGAGCTGTCGAGCAGGTTGAGGGCGAGCAGGAGATCCGCTGGCCTGCGTTGTGAATACGCCAGCCTCAGCGCGGGAGTACGGCACTGTGCAGCGTCTTCAGAGCACCGCGTGAATGCGAGGGGTGCGAGGACGATGAATACAGCGGAGTACGGCTGACTACGGCTGTAGCGTGTGTGATCTCTCGTCTCCCGCTTGTTGTGGAATTCTATGTCCGCTGGCCTGCTCTTGTTGATGAGCTCGACCAAGGTACGCGCGTACACCTGCGCGGCGGCACCGGGTGCCCGGTAACCCGCCCGAGCTGGCAGCGCCGCCAAGGAGACTGTCGCGTGGGAGCCCAGCTGCCCGAGACGGGGAAGAGGGATGGGCACCACGCGGGGAAGGCACTGTGTCTCGGACGGTGGCGCAAAGCACCTCGAGTGCCTCGTCGTCCCGCCGTCCAAGCAGGACGCGCGTGCTGTAGCAACCAGGTCCACTCGCCAGGCCCGTCGCGCTCTCTCGCGTCGCCGAGATGAGCGTGCCGAGGTTCTCTCGCTGAGACACCACGACAAAAATCCGGTTGGCGTATGCCGTGGCGATCAGCCGCGTTGAGACGCCACCGATGCAGACCTCTGCAGATTTGCTCAGTGGTCCAGGCTGTTGCGCGCACCCATTAGCGATCATTTCAAGCTCGGACGACTGCGTGAGATCACGTGCGTGTGGTGGCGCTCCACCAGCACCAACTGGCGGAAGGCGCGCTCGCGCAGCTCCCAGAAAAAGAATTATTCGTCTGCTTTTTGTTTTTGGCCTACTGTTGTGGCCCAAAGTCTGCCCAGGTTGTGAGGGACACGATCCCGGCGTGAACATGACTAACTGACGGATCCGCTCCTGACAGTACCGTCGGGTCTCTATTTTAAGAGCAGGTAAACAGCAATAGATCCGGCCCTCAAGCGGCCTAATCGATACCCGGCCCTCACGGAATCGGTCCCTCGTTGTACAGCAATCGATCCTTCACACTGCCCGCGCTGCCAAACTTGCCGAGAATCGGTCCCCATGTTACCTGTGGCGCGAAGCTGATATGTCTCCCGCGCTCGGCGCGCCGACCGCGCAGCGGCGGCAGACCACCCTCCGGTTCGAGGGGCGCCTGGGGCTGAGCGGGCTGCCTCCGCCAGAGTTTGGCTCGCCCACCGGCGGGCTGTCACCCTGCCACGGGTCGCAAGCCCTCTGCCGGCCGGAGCGCAGGCTGCGCAGGCTTCCAGCAATTGGTCCCTTGGCAAGCGCGAATCGGTCCCCCTGGCTCCAGGAACTGATCCGGCACTACACCCGGATCTATTGCTGTTTACCTGCTCTTAAAATAGAGACCCGACGGTATGCTGCGGCCGCTCCTGACTGACGGATCCGCAAGCGAGAAGGGCCGCTGCGGCGCGTGCGACTGTCTTTGTTTGAAGTTAAAAGTCGAATCAGAGCGCCGTCGGCGCTGTCCCTCGTTTTCCTCCCAAGGACCGCCCGTCCGGCACCGCTCCGGGACGCACGCCGGCGAAGCACCATCAAGCTGCTGTACGGCCCCGGAATCGCCTTCCCAGGCTTAGCTAGACTGAGAGATATTGTGGACATGGAAGCCCTCCCAGTTTTTCTTCTTTCTGGCGGCCATGAGCGGCGGCCATCCCAACCCGCCTCGCTGACCTGGCTCGGGGCGACCTTGCCCCGCTGCGCGCCTTCCTCTCCGGGCAGGGGACGCGCGGCACGTCGCTCGCGGCCCAGCTCGACGCGCGGCACGACACCGAGAAGCAGGACACGCTGCTCACCTGGGCCGCTCGGCACGGGCAGGCCGAGGCGGTGCGGCTGCTGCTCGACAGCGGCGCGAGCGTCGGGGCGACGAATGGCGGCGGCGCTTCCGCGCTGACCTACGCGTGCAATGGAGGCTGCATCGACAGCGCCCGGCTGCTCCTCAAAGCCAGCGCGGCAGTCGACCAAGCCAACGCCAGCGGCTTCACGCCGCTGCTCGTCGCAAGCGAGAAGGGCCACGTCGAGATCGCCCAGCTACTCCTTGATGCTGGCGCGGCGATCAATCGAGGCAAGCACAACGGCGTCACGCCGCTGTACAAGGCGTGTAACAAGGGCCACCTCGAGGTCGCTCGGTTGCTGCTCGAGGCTGGCGCGGCGATCAATCAAGGCAAGCATGACGGCGTCACGCCGCTGTACAAGGCGTGTAACAAGGGCCACCTCGAGGTCGCTCGGTTGCTGCTCGAGGCTGGCGCGGCGATCAACCAAGCCCAGCAGGACGGCGCCACGCCGCTCCTCGCCGCGTGCCAGGAGGGCCACGTCCAGTGCGCCCGGCTGCTCTTCGAGGCTGGCGCAGCGGTCAACCAAGCTTGCAACGACGGCGCCACGCCGCTGTTCATGGCATGCCAGGAGGGGCAGCTCGAGTGCGCCCGGCTACTCCTCGAGGCCGACGCTGACATCAACCAAGCGATGAACGACGGCGCCACGCCGCTGTTCATGGCATGCCAGAACGGCCACCTCGAGGTCGCCAAGCTCCTCTCCTCCTACGGCGCCTCCCGCGCCGCTACGCCCTTCGGCACGCCCGAGGAGGCCGCAAACCGCCTAGGCCACGCCGACCTCGCCGCTTGGCTGGTCGCCAGCCGCGGCTGGACGCCGCTCGCGCACCTTGAGACCCTCACCGCCGCCCGCGCCACCTCCCTCCTGCGCAGCGGCGCAAGCTTGCACGAGGGCGAGCCGACGCCGCTGCGGCGCGCCGCGGGCGGCGCGGGCGAGGCGGCGGCGCTGGTTCGGCGGGCGGCGGCGCCGTGGTCGCCGGCAAGCCACTCGCTCTTCCCCACGGCGGCTTGCAAGAGGGCGGTCGAGGTGATGCGGCTGGGCTACCTGATCGCCTGGGACGAGGAGCGCTTCGACAGCCGCGAGGGAGCGGCTCCAGAGCTGGCGGACATCTGGCGCGAGTTTGTGCTGCCATGGGTGGTGGTGCGATGACATGATGATTGCTTTGGTCCTGTCTCCTTTGTGCGCGTGGCGGGCGAGGCCAAGGCCCTCGCACTGAGGCGCGCACTGCAATGGTCTCTCCCCGACTCGCCGGATCCTCTCTTTGACACACCTCTGCCCTCCCTCAGGCCGGCCAACCTGCAGCCAGCGGCCGAGGCGGTGGCGGTGGGCAGGCTCATCCTCAAGGCGGCGGAGTGGTCGCCGCAGTCGCACGAGCTCTTCCCAACAGCGGCTCGCAAGCGTGCGGTCGAGGTGGTGCGGCTGGGCTACCTGGTCGCTTGGGACGAGGAGCGCTTCGACACTTCGACAGCCGTGAGGGAGCGGCTCCAGAATGAGCTGGCGGACATCTGGCGCGAGTTTGTGCTGCCATGGGTGGTGGTGCGATGAGCGACGGGCCTGTTTTCTATGTAGCCACCCCCCAGGATCTCGCTCCTCTTCTTTCTCGCTTGGTGTGCTGCACTGCATTTGTTTTTATTCTTCCTTGACCAGTCTCTCTGCTTTTATTATTCTTCCCCGCGTGTGCGTGTGCGTAAATAAATAAAAAGAGACACCTCTACTGTGAGATGGGTAAAAAGGAACAGCAAGAGCAACAGGTCCCGTGCGATCTTTGTCGGTGTTTGTGCAGGGTTCTTTGTGGGTGTGGTCTGCGACTAGCCGCCGGGGTCCGTCCTCCCGATGGGGGGGGGACTATCACTAGCCGTCTTCCACATGGTCCCTCGGGTCCCTGCTGCTCCTAATCTCTTCGTACATCCTCCTGCTGATCTCCGCAAAGTCCTGCTCCCTCCCTCGTCTCGGCTCTCGCCCTGCGCGTCTGCTCCGCCTCCACATCGTCTGCCCTGCGTCGTCTGGCGCGTGTGCGCGTACGTGCGCCTACAACATTGGAATCCCGCCGACGACTCAGTCACTCACACATACGCGCCGCCTCAACACTTCCGAAACACCGGACTCCTCAGCTTCAAGGACTGGCATCTCTATTTCAAGCACATCCTCCACCGAGCGCTCTCGACGCGCCACCGGCGGGGAGAGGCCAGGACCGTCTGCCGCCTCTGCCACCGCGAACGCGAGTCCTGCGCACACCTCGGCCGATGCCGAATAATCGCGCATCTATTCAGCCGGATAAAGCTGATCATTCCCGACACCCCTGCTCCCAGTCGCGACAGGATACTCTTCTGCTACGTGGAGGACCAACGTCTTCCCCTAGTGACGACGACTCTCTGCCTGCTCCTCTGGAAGTTTACGCTGATCGACTTCTACAGGGTCGACATCGACAACGTCACGTTCAAAGCGGACGACGTGTGGACGGCTACTCTCACCCGACTCGTCCATGCGGCCGCCTCGAAATGCGTTCATATCCGCAGCCTCCGGAGAAGGTACCACTCGAGAGGGGAACAGCCGCCGCCGCGCTTCCTCGATCGATTCCAACTACTCGTGGCCCCCCTGTTCTCGTACGGCGAGTACGGGCAGCTCTACTTTAGTGAGGCCTTGACGAGGCATCTCAAATGCAGGGACCTGCACCACCTGCTGGACTACGCGACCAAGAGGGACGACGCCGCCAGCCGTGGCGACGCCGCTCCCTCGGATGACGCCGCGACAGCCGCCGCCGGCCAGCAGCAGCTGCAGCAGCAGCAAGCAACAACGCCCTTCTACGCCAACTGGACGAAACGGCTCCGTTCTTAGTGCTGGCGACGACGACACGCGGGGGACTGGGCGCTAGCCGCAGCTCCCCCGGGCCAACGGGGGCCTATCCCGGACCAGCCAGCAGGGGCATACAATTCCTGTACACCCCCCCCCCCACTGTGAATGATCACAGCGGACCCCTATTCACACCTAGACACGGAGGCACCTCTCCACGTCCGCAGCCGGCTCCGCTGCTCTGCAGGCTCCGGATAAGCCCTGCCCACGGCTCAGTCACCCTTACCTCACTCGGGATGCCAACACTAACCCAACCGCCGAGATCGACCCTATGCAGGCGACCAGGCGCAAACAGACCTCGGTCTGGGCGAACTGCGATGTGTCCATCCGCGAGTCGATGCTGAGAAGCCATGGTTGCTGGTCGAGCTCATCGTCAGAGTCGCGGGAGGCGGCGACGTCCTGCAGCCGCGCAACGTCGAGCGCAATCAGCGGGTCCTCCGCCATCTCCTTCGTCATCCGCCGCAGCAGCCGGCCGATGCCGTGGGTCTCGCGCTGGTTGCCGCCGTTCTTCCACAGCTTCCACTCCGCGCCCGACTTGTGCATCGCGCGGGCAAACGGACAGATCATGTACACGCGCGTCGCCTCGTCGAAAGAGGCGATGACATTGTCAATCCGCTGCCACTGCAGCACTTGCTTGGCCCCCGGCAGCGCCTCGTGCAGCAGCGGGCACGTGCGCCACACGCTGGTGAGCGACCGCTGCGTAAACGGGGCGGCAAAATTGATGCGGCCTGCAGGGACCGAAAGGTCGCCGACCTGATCAGTTCACGGCTGCCGGCGCCTCGGCGCCGGCCGACGCCGTGTTCGGCGGCAGGTTCGCGACGGGCGAGACGCCCCGCTCGACGACCTCCGCCTCCGAGGCGGACGAGGGCGACGGCGCCGGCGGCGATGGCGGGACCGGCTTCGACCTGTTCGGGCCGGACCCCACCCCCATGGAGGACCTTTGAGGCCCTCCCCAGTCTCACCCCACCTTACCTCTGCCCCCCCCTCCCCCCATCCCTCTGCCTCCCATAGGGCATCAGGATAGCACTAGCATATGCGCCTAGTGCGCACACTGGGCCCACATAGATGTGACCCGCCCGCTCGAGTGCGGCGTCCGGATGCTAGTGCTTGAGAAGACACCACAAACGCGGCACGGCCCGTTTTGGATGTCTGCGGAGATTCTGTCTTAGCACACACAGTGAGTCATTCGGAGTCATTCGATGGCCAGAGTGCGATTGTGTGTGTGCGGGAGTTGGTTTGTCGGGAGGGAGGGGCAGGCTGCTCACCCACGTGCACCGGGCCAGTGCTTGCACTTTGAATGCCGTGGGGCTCCTGCCCGTGTCCGGGCGTGGAGATGCGAGGGTCGCCCCCCCTTGCCCCACCACTTTGTGTGTGTGGAGAAATCTACCTTACCTTACCTTACCTTACTTACTACGTATGCGGTCGCGGTATGCCGCATCGATCTCTCCGTGCTCGGCCAGCTCGTTCGCGAGCCAGTCCGAGGCGACGGTCGTCGCCACGGTCCCCTGGGGAACTGTGGCGTACACCTTGCTGGGGCCGCGTCGATACCCGTCGTCCCTCTCCGGGGGCAGCGAGTATTCGACCCCTATTTTGGACCCGGCCTGGCTGCGCGCCTGCGCAGCTGCAGACCGCAGCCCGGCCATCACGTACTGGATGTTCTCGCGCAGCTGCGCGCGCGGGGCCTCCGCGCGCTCGGCCTCCCTCGCGGCGCGCTCGCCAGCCTCCGTCGCCCGGCGCGCCTTCTGCGCCGGGCCTTCTTGGCCTTGCGTGCCGCGGCTCGAGCCGCGGGCTGCTCGCCTGCTCCTTGGTGGGCTCCTTCTTCTTCGGCGCGGTGCGCTCGATGTACGAGCGCTCCGCCGCCTGCACCGACTCGCGGTCGCCCGCGGCCTTCTCGTGCTTCAGGTCGACCTCGATGGTCGCGTAGCCAGGCCTTATCAGCCTGACCTGCGACGCACCTGCGATCCTTCGGCGACCATCACCACGTCCTCCAGTTGCACGCGATCGGAGCGCCATGGAGAACGCGGGCACTTGTGCGCAGAGATGTGCCCAAATGCGCCCGCCGTTTTTTGTCATACCCCCCCTCCGAAACCCGCCGACTTTGACCGGGTCCGGTTCTAGCTCACTCTCATCTCTATACTTTCCCAGATACAAAACGTCAGATCTGTGCCACCCTGGGCTGGACCTAGTCATTGGGGCGCATCATCTCGAGCCTGGTCACGCTGCCTTCCGCGCCCCCTCCCAGTCCCGGATCATCCGGCGCAGCATGTGGTTGGGGGTGAGGTATGGGTGCTCGAGCGCGCCGCCCGTCAGAGGGCTCGTTGACTTGGTCGCGAGCCAGCGCTCGATCGCCGTCCGCTCGTACGACTGCCCATCGGCCGCCATCACCGGGTCGCTCATCACCTCGGTCGTGATTGGGCAGATGAAATCGTCCGGCGGCTCCTCCTCTCCCTCAGGCGGCGCCTCCTCCGCCGGTGACGAATCGCCCTGCCGCTCGGCGACTCGCGCCTGTCCCCCCGCCGCACGCGTCGCCCCGACATCCAGCCTCGCGCTCTCCTCGAGCGCCGCCGCCTCTGCCTCCTCCGCCGCCGCCAGCGCTGCCTCATCCTCGGACAGCCCCTGCGACGGCCCAGCGCCACCCCCGCCACCCTTCCCCTTCTTCTTCTTCTTCTTCCCCTTCTTGCTCTCCTTGGCGCGCCCCGCCTCCTTCTCCGCCTCCTCCTCCGCCAGCAGCGCCTCGGCATGCCGCGCCGCCTCCGCCTCTGCCGCCGCACTCTCCACCGCCCTCGCCGCTGCCTCCGCCGCCGCATGATCTTCGAGGGCGCGCACGCAGCCGGCGCGGCCTTTCTTCTTGGCCATCTGCAGCGCCGTCCTGCCGCTCGCATCGCACAACGCCGCGTCTGCGCCCGCCCGCAGCAGGCGGAGCACGAATGCGGGGTGGCCGTTGGCGCCGGCGATCATCAGCGCGGTGAAGCCGTTGCTGTTCTGCAGGTTGACATCCGCGCCGCGTTGAAGCAGCTCGACCACTCGCTCGTGGCCGCTGACGGCGGCGTGCATCAGCGCAGTGCTGCCGTCGGCGTCCTGCTTGTCGACCTCCGCGCCGTGCTGAAGCAGCAGCTTAACCACCCGCTCGTGGCCTTTGCTGGCGGCGAACATCAGCGCGGTCCAGCCGGCGCTGTCCTGCTGGTCGATCTCCGCGCCGCGCTGAAACAGCAAATCGACCATTCGCTCGTGGCCCTCCTGAGCGGCGAGCATCAGCGCGGTGAAGCCGCTCCTATCGCCTACCACGCAAGTCGCGTTGACCCGCCCGCCGCTGTCCAGCCACGCCAGCAGCGCCGCCTCGTCGCCGTCGAGAGCTGCTGCCAGCGCTAGCATTGCAGCAACGCGCCTCCCGGTGACCAACGAGTACTCGAGTACTGTCCAAGCCTAAAGTCTGGCCAGGTTACTCAGGACACGATCCCGGCGTGAACACGACTAACTGGCGGATCCGCTCCTGACAGTGGCATGCACCGCGCCGCGGCGCGTGCCACTGTCTTTGTTTGAAGTAAAAAGTCGAATCAGAGCGCCGTCGGCGTCGTCCCGAGTTTTCTCCCCTGGACCGCCCGTCCGGCACCGCTCCGGGACGCACGCCGGCGAAGCACCATCAAGCTGCTGTACGGCCCCGGAATCGCCTCCCCTGGCTTAGCTAAAGTGAGAGTTATTGGGAGACGGCTCCCGCGAAAGCACGGCTGGCATCCGTGGCGTGGGGCTCGCCTCCGAAAAGTCGGGCATGGCTCTCCCCGCAACTCTCTTGCTAACACGCGCGCCCCACCGAGACTGTGGTGGGCGCGCTGCGGCCGCACGTCTACCTCCGTCATAGTGCCACGACGTGCGGCCTAGATTTAGCACACGCGCCTCAGCTCGCAAACACTCACCCATTTAATTGTCACTGTCCGTGAGTGCGAGAGAAGTCTAGCGGCAGGCAGCTAGACCATGAGGAGGGCGTCCATAGACACCTCACTAGACCCCACATACGGTCTCGTCCGTGCCTCGAAGGCCGGTGAGATTGCTAGAGGTGGAGCAAGCTGCTCTAGCCTCACATGTCTCTTCCTGTCGTCTGTTGTTTGAGTTGTGCCCTTGTTTGTGCCCTTGGCACCGTGGAGTGCTGGGGGGGGCGACAGGGAGGATGTGGCCCTGAGTTATGTGTACGCCGACTCAGGGTGTGTGGCAGCCAGATGGCTGTGTGTCTTGTGAGCCTGTTTGTGTCTGTGTGTCGCTCGTGCGTGTCGTCATCATCTGTCCAGCGTCCACCCATACCGCGTTGGTGTCCAGTCCGAGCCTGGCTGTTCTTCACCTTTCTACCTACCTACCTTATTGTGCACATGGTTAGTATCTACAATATACTCACTGACACCCCCCCTCCCAGAGCTCGTCCCGGTCCGCCACGGCCATCCTCGGCCTCCGGAGGGCCCCCGGCCACGGCGCGGTGCGGCGGCGTCACAAATCCGACGGCAGAGCACCGGGACGCGGTCGGGCGATCTGAGGTCCAGTGAGGCGTATGCATTGCCTATCCAGGGCTATCACCTGGACCTATCAACAGGCGCCTGCGGCGCCGTGGTCAGGAGCTGCTGTTCACGCCGGTCCACACTTTCATAGTGGACAGTAAGTAAAACCGGATACATGTATCCTGCGGAACAAGCGCGTGATCGCCGCGATCCAGGAGGCTTCCTTCACGCGCAAGGGCGACAAGCCGAAGGTCGTCCTGCTGTACCGTAGCTACGCTCTCAAGGTGAACAACGCGATGGCTCGCTCGGGCGAGGCGCAGAAGTTTGAGTACGAGGGCGAGTACAACGCGGCGGGAGAGCCCGAGGGGCGCGGCGTCCTGCGGTTCGCCAACGGCAACGTCTACGAGGGCGAGTGGAAGGCGGGTCTGCCGGAGGGGCGCGGCGTCATGCGGTTCGCCAACGGCGACGTCTACGAGGGCGAGTACAAGGCGGGTAAGAAGGAGGGGCGCGGCGTCTTCCGGTGCGCCGACGGCGACGTGGAGTCGAACTTCTACAAGCATGATGCCCCCACCGGCGAGGGCGTCGGGTGGGTGGCGGACGGGTCGGGAGCGGTGCGGCTGCGTGGCGGGGAAACCTGGTTTGTGGAGCTCCCACAGATTACCTAGAGAGCACGGCATTCGGGGCCATGATCTCGGTTCCGCACTGGACTTTTTTTGTAGTGGAGAGAATTAAGGAATCTTTCTGCTCTGGCAGGCAGCTGCATCATTCCCCTTTACTTCAATCAGCTGTGTACACTCAAGTGCTAGTACTGTCTGAATAGCTGTCTAGACGCTCCGATTTTGCTGTCTGGACGCTGTCTGGACACTGTCTGGACGCTGTCTGGACGCTGTCTGGACGCTGTCTGGACATACCTCCGTCATAGTGCCACGACGTGCGGCCTAGATTTAGCACACGCGCCTCAGCTCGCAAACACTCACCCATTTAATTGTCACTGTCCGTGAGTGCGAGAGAAGGCTAGCAGCAGGCAGCTAGCCCATGAGGAGGGCGTCCATAGACACCTCACTAGACCCCACATACGGTCTCGTCCGTGCCTCGAAGGCCGGTGAGATTGCTAGAGGTGGAGCAAGCTGCTCTAGCCTCACATGTCACTTCCTGTCGTCTGTTGTTTGAGTTGTGCCCTTGTTTGTACCCTTGGCACCGTGGAGTGCTGGGGGGGGCGACAGGGAGGATGTGGCCCTGAGTTATGTGTACGCCGACTCAGGGTGTGTGGCAGCCAGCTGGCTGTGTGTCTTGTGAGCCTGTTTGTGTCTGTGTGTCGCTCGTGCGTGTCGTCATCATCTGTCCAGCGTCCACCCATACCGCGTTGGTGTCCAGTCCGAGCCTGGCTGTTCTTCACCTTACTACCTACCTACCTACCTACTAAAGTTCGCTCAGGATGTGTGGGAGCTCCCCTAGCCAGTGTGCAGGGCGGAGCGAATACCGGGCAGACGCTGGCAGCGCGACGAGAAGCGGGACCAACTTCAGGAGCATGGCAACGAAGACCGCGGACTTCGGATTTTCCGTCGGCGGCCGCGATTTTGTACTCTTGCGCTCCTCGTACCTCGAGCGCACTAGCACCTTCTCTGGCACCTCCGGCGCTTGCATTGCAACAACGCGCCAGGCGTTTTCTTCTTTCACGCGGTGTCTAACGAGAAGAGAAAAACCGAGGAAAAAGAAAACAGACAAGCAAGCGCGCCTTCGGCTGGCGTCCTGAACCGCCGCTCCTCTCCGGGTCAGCGCAGTCGTTGCTCTGCCAACAAGAACGAGTGGATGGCGGCCACCGAGCTGCACGCGCCTCCCTGGGCGAGCCAGGCGGCAGCGGCGCGCCAGCTCCGCCTCGAGCCACTGCTCATCCACACCGACCTCGACGCGCTCGGCGTCGCCGCGCTGCCGCTGCCCGCCGGAGTGGCGGCGATGCACCAGCTCTGCCTGACGGGGCCGTTCTTGCTGCAAGTGGTGCGTGGCGAGTAGCAGACCTTAGCTGGCGGTAGCGATGTCGCCGCCGGTAAGCGGTCGCCGGGTGAGCCGGTCGCTGCCACCCCGCCTCCACCCACCTCCACCCGCCTCCACCGCCGCGGCGCAGGTGGAGGTGAGCGACATCACACTGGTCGAGGAGCAGCGGAACCGGCCAGACAAGCACCCCGACGGACCTCCCGACCCCCACCGCCTCGGTGTCTGCATGCAGAGAGACGCAGTCGAGATCTGGGGAGCTATGGGGAGAGATGTAGGAGATCCCCACCGGCTCGGTGTCTGCATGCAGAGAGACGCAGTCGAGATCTGGGGAGCTATGGGGAGAGATGTAGGAGATCCCCACCGGCTCGGTGTCTGCATGCAGAGAGGCGGGAGTCCGCCAGCCAGGCCAGTCGTGCACACGCCCTAGCAGAGAGACGCGAGTCCGCCAGCCAGGCCAGTGGTGCACACGTCGCAGCAAGGCCGACGCGGCTCACACGCACACTCGCGGAGCACACGGAGGCAAGGTTCGCGAGGCGTGAGGTGCGAGCTCAGGAAATCTCAGGAGAGGGGGTGGGCAGTCGCATTGAATGCAGAGTCTGCAGAGAGGCCGCAGCTAAAGCCGCAGCTAATGCGGGCCGAGGTGGGGAGATACGGGGAGATGTGGGGAGATACGGGGAGATGTGGGGAGGTATGGGAGAGGCGCCCGTAGGCCATCAGCGCGAGATGTGGGGAGATATGGGGAGATACGGGGAGATGTGGGGAGATACGGGGAGATGTGGGGAGGGATGGGAGAGGCGCCCGTAGGCCGGATGCTGAGGCTGCTGCTGTCGGACGGCGGCCAGCGCGTGGTGGCGCTCGAGTACAGCCGGCTCCGCGACCTCTCCACGCTCACCCCAATCGGCGACTCATTAATTAATATTATATTAATTGACTAATTAGCCGGCTCCGCGACCTCTCCACGCTCACCCCAATCGGCGACTCATTAATTAATATTATATTAATTGACTAATTAGCCGGCTCCGCGACCTCTCCACGCTCACCCCAATCGGCGACTCATTAATTAATATTATATTAATTGACTAATTAGCCGGCTCCGCGACCTCTCCACGCTCACCCCAATCGGCGCACCCCTGCCCCCCCCGCTGACTCTTGCACTTGTGACTGTGCGGGGATGCCTTTCCCTGAGACCGCACACACACCGCCTCGCGTGCCCCTCTCTCCCCCGCTGACTCTTGCACTTGTGACTGTGCGGGGATGCCTTTCCCTGAGACCGCACACACACCGCCTCGCGTGCCCCTCTCTCCCCCGCTGACTCTTGCACTTGTGACTGTGCGGGGATGCCTTTCCCTGAGACCGCACACACACCGCCTCGCGTGCCCCTCTCTCCCCCGCTGACTATTGCACTTGTGACTGTGCGGGGATGCCTTTCCCTGAGACCGCACACACACCGCCTCGCGTGCCCCTCTCTCCCCCGCTGACTCTTGCACTTGTGACTGTGCGGGGATGCCTTTCCCTGAGACCGCACACACACCGCCTCGCGTGCCCCTCTCTCCCCCGCTGACTATTGCACTTGTGACTGTGCGGGGATGCCTTTCCCTGAGACCGCACACACACCGCCTCGCGTGCCCCTCTCTCCCCCGCTGACTATTGCACTTGTGACTGTGCGGGGATGCCTTTCCCTGAGACCGCACACACACCGCCTCGCGTGCCCCTCTCTCCCCCGCTGACTATTGCACTTGTGACTGTGCGGGGATGCCTTTCCCTGAGACCGCACACACACCGCCTCGCGTGCCCCTCTCTCCCCCGCTGACTATTGCACTTGTGACTGTGCGGGGATGCCTTTCCCTGAGACCACACACACACCGCCTCGCGTGCCCCTCTCTCCCCCGCTGGCTATTGCACTTGTGACTGTGCGGGGATGCCTTTCCCTGAGACCGCACACACACCGCCTCGCGTGCCCCTCTCTCCCCCGCTGACTATTGCACTTGTGACTGTGCGGGGATGCCTTTCCCTGAGACCGCACACACACCGCCTCGCGTGCCCCTCTCTCCCCCGCTGACTCTTGCACTTGTGACTGTGCGGGGATGCCTTTCCCTGAGACCGCACACACACCGCCTCGCGTGCCCCTCTCTCCCCCGCTGACTATTGCACTTGTGACTGTGCGGGGATGCCTTTCCCTGAGACCGCACACACACCGCCTCGCGTGTGTGATGCCCCCGCTCTGTGTGTGTGTGTGTGTGTGCCCCGCACGCACCGCGCTGTGAACCGCGTCTGTTCATCCGCCCCCCCCCCTCCCCCTCCTCCCCGCCTCTCTCCCGTGTGAAACAGGCACCAAGCTCGTCGTCGCTAACGTGACCGTCCGGAGAGGCATCCTCCTCCTCACCCCCGCCTGCGCAACCCTCGCCGGCGGAAGTGCCGCTGTGGGCGCACCTGGAGGAGCGGCTCCGAGAGGTCTAGCCGAGAGGCAGCCGAGAGATTGGCCGAGATACAGCCGAGATGCGGCGGAGAGATTGCCGAGAGATGGCCGAGAGGCAGCCGAGGGACAGCCGAGAGGCAGCCGAGAGGCAGCCGAGAGGTAGCCGAGAGGCAGCCGAGAGGTTGCCGAGAGGCAGCCGAGAGGCAGCCGAGAGGTAGCCGAGAGGCAGCCGAGAGGTTGCCGAGAGATTGCCGGCCATAAGCGTCCCTGACGGCACGTCGCTGCCGGTGCCAGAGTCGGCTCCGCCAGCACACTTACCTCGTCACGGGAGATATGGGGAGATACGGGGAGATGTGAGATCTCGTAGAGCCAGCACCGTACCCCCTTCACAGCCGACACCCCAAACCCTCCCCATTAGGTGCCGCACCACCGATGCCCGCACCACCGCCGCCCGCCCGCTCGTTCGCCGCGCCCGCCGCCGGTCGCGCCGCCGCCTCCACCGCCGCCGCCACCACCTCCGCCGCCTCCGCCTCCGCCTCCGCCTCCGCCTCCGCCTCCGCCTCCGCCTCCGCCGTCGCACCCGCGGCCGCTCGCGCCAGCGGCGGAGGAGGCGGCAGAAGCGGCGGCGGTGGCGGCGGAGGCGGAGGCGGAGGCGGAGGCGGAGGCGGAGGCGGAGGAGGAGGAGGCGGAGGCAGAGGAGGCGGAGGCGGCGTTGATCCGGACGCTCATCTCTTCGGAGAGGAGCAGGAGAGACCACGCAGGCAGCAGGCGCAGCAGCAGCAAGCGCAGCAGCAGCAGCAGCAGCGGCAGCAGCAGATGCAGATGCAGCAGCAGCAAGCGCAGCAGCAGCAGGCGCAGCAGCAGCAGCAGCAGCGGCAGCACCAGCCGCTCAAGTCTCCCCAGCGGCCGCTGCAGCCGCTGCAGCCACTGCAGCCTCAGGCGCGCTGCAGTCTGTGACATGAGATCGCCCGAGATCGCCCGAGATCGCCCGAGATCGCCCGAGATCGCCCGAGATCGCCCGAGATCGCCCGAGATTGCTCGAGATCGCCCGAGATCGCCCGAGATCGCCCGAGATCGCCCGAGATTGCTCGGGGTCGGGTGCGGCCACACGTCTATTCCTCCACCCGCCCTACCTGGACTATGAGCTGAGTGATGGCTGAGTGGGCCAAGGAACCGATCAGGTGCGACCACCGCCTCAGTTTGTCTACCCCGCCGCCCTACCACGCCGCGGCACGGGCGAACCGCCGCAGGCGCTGATTGCCGAGATCGGCGGAGATTATCTCCCCCCCCTCT